AAAAACACAAATATGTGGAAATTAAATAAGTAACTAAAGGATCAAATAAGAGATCACAAGGGAAATTAGAAAACACCTTGAAACAAATGAAAGTTAAAACACAAAATACAAAACCTATGGGATGCAAAGAAAACAGTACTAAGAAGAGGATTTACAGTGATAAAGGTATACATTAGCAAAGAAGAAAGATCACAATCAAGAACCTAACTTTACACTTTAAGGAACCAGAAAAGGAAGCACAAACTAAACCCTAGCTAGAGAATAAAAGGAAATAATACAGATTAGAGCAGGGACAATTAAAATGGTTGATGGAGGTATAGATAAAACAGATATGTAATAAAGCAAGTACAGCAACATGTTAAGAAATGAAGAAGCTACATGGTAGGTACATTCGTGTTCACGTTTATAATTCTCTCCATATATTTACAAATTTCATGATAAAATTGTGGGGGAACAAAATTACTAGAAAAAATAATGAGAAAATACATACCATGTATTATTCAAAAACAAATCTACACAAGATTTGTGCATTTCATTTTAAGTAAATTTCCTTTTACATAAAAAGGAAAACATAAATATTGAACTTTAGCTAATGATACACATGCTAAAGCATTTGAGATAAATGAAATGATGTCTGGAACTTACTATGAAATGCATAAAAAGATGTACTGATGGATAAAGATTAGTACATAAATAGGAATGTAATAAGGCAAATATGAAAATGAAAAAAATCTAGGAAGTAAGTTTATGGGAAATCAATGAAATACTTTCAACCTGGCTGTAGAAATGAAACTTTTCCTAAGATGTTGGAAAAGAAAGATGATGTCGTTACGTTATTATCAAATACAGCAGACTTCAGGTGAAAGAAAATTACCAGATAATACAGAGTCACATTATATGTTGTTAAAGGGGGAATTAACCAGAAAGATGTAATCCTAAATGTATATGTACCTAACAAAACAACTTCTAGCAAACATGAAGCAAAATCTGAGACCTGCAAGGAAAAAGAGATGAATTAACAATTATAGTTGGAGACATCAACACTCCTCTAATTGGAGAGAATACCATTAAAACTATAGAAGATCTGAATATAATCAACCATCAATATAATCTGATCAAAATTTATAGAATATGTCACCTAACAACAGCAGAATATACACAATGAACATCCACCAAGACAGATCATATTCTGGCTCATAGAAATTAGAAAAGATTCAGAGCAGAGTAAAAATTAACACAAAATACCAAAATTTGTAAGATGCAGAGTTTAAACAGTATGCACAGTGGCAAATTTTATACCTTTAAAAATGCTATGTTAAAAAAGATCCAAAATCCACCTAAAGTAGCTAGAAAAAGAAGAGAAAATAAGTCCAAAGAAGGATAAACACAGTAAAAATAAGAATGAAAATCAATGAAATAGAAAAGGGTCAAACAATAGAAAAAAATTAATAAAATCCAAAGCTGGGTTTTCTTTTTTGAGATAGTGAAATTGTGAAATTTTTGCACAGATTAATCAAGGAAAAAAAATGATAAAACACAAATTTCTAACAGACACAATAAATGACAGAACCTACAAAGTATAACGAAAGACTATAAACAAATTTACATAAATAATTTGACTACTTAAATGAAAAGGAAAAATTCCTTAAGGATGAAATTTACCAAAACAGACCTAAAGAAAAAGAAAAGATCTAAATAGTTCTACATGTATTAAAGAAATGGAATATGCCAGGTGTGGGGGCTCCCAACTATAATCACAGCCCTTTGGGAGGTTGATGGGAGAGGACCACTTGAGGCCAGCAGATCAAGACCAGCCTGGGTAGCATAATGAGACCCAATCTCTAAAACAAAAAATTAACCAGGTATGGTGGTACATGCCTGTTGTCCCAGCTACTTGGAAAGTGGAGGCAAGAGGATTGCTTGAGCCCAGGAGTTTGAGGCTGCAGTGAGCTATGGTCACACTACAGCACTCTAGCCTGAGAGATAGAGGACACCCTATGAAAGAAAGAGAGAGAGAGAGAGAGAGAGAGAGAGAGAGAGAAAAAAAGAAAGAAAGAAAGAAAGAAAGAAAGAAAGAAAGAAAGAAAGAAAGAAAGAAAGAAAGAAAGAAAGAAAGATCAGCAAATGCAATACAATATATAAAAGGAGCAATACAACACGACTAAGCAAGGTTTATTCAAGGAATCCAAGACATTTTCTAGGTCACTCCAACAGACGCAATGAAAAGCATTTGAAGAAATTCACCATTTATAATTTAAAAAGAGAAATAAATGATAGATTGGAATGGAATTAGCAAAATAGTTTTTCTTCACAGACAACACAAACGTATACATGAAAGTCATAAAGAATTTATCAAAAAAGAGCTACTATAACAAGTAAGTAAATTTAGAGCTTAGGACACAAGGTCATTATGCCAACATTACTTGAAACTACATTTACTATATGATATGGCTTGGCTGTGTCCCCACCCAAATCTCATCTTGAATTCCCACATGTTGTGGGAGGGACCCAGTGGGAGGTAACTGAATCACGGGGGCAGGTCTTTCCTGTGCTGTTCTTGTGATAGTGAATAAGTCTCACAAGATCTATAGTTTTAAAAAGAGGAGTTTCCCCGCACAAGTTCTTGTCTGCCACAATGTGAGATGTGCCTTTTGCCTTCCACCATGATTGTGAGGCCTCCTCAAGCCACGTAGAACTATAAGTCCAATAAAACTCTTTGTTTTATAAATTGCCCAGTCTTGGGTATGTCTTTATCAGCAGCATGAAAATGGACTAATACAATAGAACATCAAAAACCATGAACTACTTGGGGATAAATCTTTTAAAATATGTACTAGACCTATACAGTGAAAACTACAAAACATTCCTAAGAGAAATTAAAGAGAAGGTAAATAAATAGAGGTACACTATATTCATGTAATAGGAGACAAAACACTGTTAAGATGTCAATTCTGGCCACACTACAAGAAAGAGTCAACAAAATTCCAATAGAAATTCCACAGGGATTTTTGTAAAAACCAACAACATAATACTATGTGGAAATGCAAAGAACTGAGAATATCCAGAAAGATTCTGAAAAAGTGGAACAAAGTTAGAGGAGCTGTACCACAAAAAGGGGACAACCAGATTTAAAGTACCTCTTAATGAGATGCAAAAGGAAGTACTATTACTGCCCATGAGTATTTCTACCAAAAAAAGAACTGAATCTAAATCTGCTCGGGACTCTAGATCCTATTACTAGTTTATAGGAAATATAGATGCCAATGAAACTGTACTACAGGGATGCAAATAACAAAACTCAGAATATAGAAAATTTTACAAAACTAATCTGTTTTCTTAAACAAATGAACTGTAAGAATGGGTAAAGAAAAAGAAAGAACCAAAGGGAAACTAGGTTAAAATTAGGTAAGAGATTTAGCATTCAAATACAACAGAATATGCAGATGGCCCTTGTTAAGACCTGATTCAAACCAACTATTTTTTTTTTTTTTTGAGACTGAGTTTCGTTCTTGTCACCCAGACTAAAGTGCAATGGTGAGACCTTGGCTCACTGCAAGCTCTGCCTCCTGGGTTCAAGCAATTCTCCTATCTCAGCCTCCCAAGTAGCTGGGATCACAGGTGTGCACCACCATACCTGGCTAATTTTTTTGTATTTTTAGTAGAGATGGGATTTCACCATGTTAGCCAGGCTGGTCTCCACCATCTGACCTCAGGTGATCCACCCACCTCGGCCTCCCAAAGTGTTGGGATTACAGGCATGAGCCACCACGCCAGGCCCACACCAACTATTTTTTAAAACTACTATGTGAGGCAATGAGAGAATTCAGTGTAATAATGCTACTGTAGTAATGTTTAAAATACTATTATCTTTTAACAATACATTCCCAACTATTTATAAACAGAATATGATTTCTGAGATTTGCTCCGAAATAATCTGAAGGAAAAAGAATAGATGAAACGGCCGGGCGTGGTGGCACTCACTCCTGAGTATGTAATCTCACATACTCAGGAGGCTGAGACAGGAGAATCACTTGAACCCAGGAGGTGGAGGTTGCAGTGAGCCAAGATTGCGCCACTGCACTCCAGCCTGGGTGACAAGAGTGAAACTCCATCTCAAAAAAAAAAAAAAAGATGAAACAAGACTTGTACTGTGTTAGTAACTGCTGAAACTGACTTCATAGATCCAGGGAGAATTATTACACCATTCTCTCCACCTGTGAATTTGAAAATTTTTGTAACATAAAGTCCATTTAAAAAACTGAAATCTTTTATGGATTTAAGAAGTAATTTTGAAACATTTCTCTACCCAAAATACAACATAACCATTTTGGTGATCATTCAAGAATCTCAATTCTTTCCATGCACTTAATTAAATTAATAAAGCTTAATGACTATTTTGAGTTGCATGAAATAGTGACAGTAGGAAAAATCAACTGCAACTAGAAATCCTGTGGTTGAGGCTGGTCACGGTGGCTCACACCTGTAATCCCAGCACTTTGGGAGGCCGAGACGGACAGATTACTTGAGGTCAGGAGTGCAAGACCAGCCTGGTCAACATGGTGAAACCCCGACTCTACTAAAAAATACAAAAATTAGCTGGGTGTGGTAGTGCATGCCTGTAGTCCCGGCCACTTGGGAGGCTGAGGCACAAGAATTGCATGAACCCAAGAGGCAGAGGTTGCAGTGAGCTGAGATCATGCCACTGCAATCCAGCCTGGGTAACAGAGCCAGACTCCATCTAAAAAAGAAAGAGAAATCTGTGGTAGATTACAACATTCTACTCTTAAAATGCTGAAATATATTGAAGTCATATACCAAATAAAATAAATCATTAATAGAAATAAATTAAGGCTGGGTGTGTTGATTCACGCCTGTAATCCCAGCAGTTTGGGAGGTCAAGGTAGGAAGATCACTTGAGCCCAATAGTTCGAAGCCAGCCTGGGCAACATAGCGAGACCCTGTAGCTATAAAAGAAAAAGAAGAAGAAATAAATTAGTCACCTCTCTCAATTTTTCTCGCTCACGCTCCCTCTCGGCAATACGTTTTCGCCTCTCTTCTTCTTCCTTAAGAGCATTTTGTGTTTCTGTTCTCAGTTTATCATCTTTAAGAATCTTCCGAATTTTCTTTCTGCCTTTTCCAGGAGACTTGGAATCATCATTTTCATCTTCTTCTTCCTCCTCCTCCTCCTCCTCCTCCTCCTCCTCTTCTTTTTCCTCCTCTTCCTCCTCAGAATTACTCTAGGGAATTTAAACAATTAGAGGTCAACAGTACAAAGTCATTTATCCATTTCATATTCCATTAATTAATACACCAGGAAAAGGTGGAAGAAAACATGCTGAAAACCTTTAGAATTATATTTAGCAATAAAGAGTAGTATTAAAAAAAAAAAAAAAAGTCTTCGGCCCGGCGCAGTGGCTCACACCTGCAATCCCAGCACTTTGGGAGGCCGAGATGGGCAGATCACAAGGTTAGGAGATCGAGACCATCCTGGCTAACACGGTGAAACCCCGTCTCTACTAAAAATACAAAAAAAAAAAATTAGCCGGGCGTGGCGGTGTGCGCCTGTAGTCCCAGCTACTCAGAAGGCTGAGGCAGGAAGATGGCGTGAACCCGGGAGGTAGAGCTTGCAGTGAGCTGAGATCGTGCCACTGCACTCTAGCCCGGGCCACAGAGCGAGACTCTTTCTCAAAAAACAAAACAAAACAAAAACTCTTCAACACCTATTAAAAAAAAAAAAAAACAACTCAATTAAAAATGGGCTACCGACTAGAATAAACATTTCTCAAAAGAAGATATAAGCATATGAAAAGATGTTGAATATCACCAGTTATTAGGAAAATACAAAGAAAAACCACAATGAAATGCCACTTCCCACTCATTAGGATGTTTCTTGTTGAAAAAGAAAGAAAGAAAGAAAAAGAAACAAAGGAAGTGTTGGCAAAGATGCAGACAAATTGGAATCTTGGTACACTGCTAATACGAACGTCAAATGTTACAGACACTAGAGAAAAACAGTGTGGAGTTTTCCAAAAGTTAAACATACAACTACTATATGATGTAGCAATTCCATTTTTCCATCTATACCCAGAATAATTAAAAACAGGGACTCAAACAGATATGTAAACACCCATATTCATAGCAGTATTATTCAAAATAGCCAAAAGGTAGAAACAACCAAAATGCCCATCAACAGATGACTGGGCTAACAAAATGTGGCACACACATACAATGGAATATTATTTGCCTTAAAAAGGGAATGACATTCTGATACATGCTACAACATGGATGAACCTAGAAAATATGTCAATGAAATAAGCCAGACACAAAAGGACAAATATTGCATGATTCAACTTATATATATGAGGTACTTAAAATACACAAATTCATGGAGACATAAATGAAAATAGAGGTTACCAGAGGATGGGGGATAGAAGGGAATGGAGTTAATGTTCAATGAGTGAAGAGATTCTGCTTATGAATATAATTAAGGCCACTGAATTGTACACTTTAAAATATTTAACAAGTTATTTTTCAAAAGATAAATACCCCTCTGGAAGAGCACTGTGTTGACGGAATCAAACATATTTCAGACACCTTTTACTTTATGTAAGCCTGCGTATATACAAAAAAACTCAAACTGGCTAATTTCACTACGTGATTTATTCCCATATAAGTCATCATTCAGGATAGTATTTTGTCTTCAGAAAACAGAACACTCACATCACTACAAATATAAAATCATGAATTAGAATGGCTTAAAATTCCATTAGAAATTAAGGAACAGGAAAAAAACTGATAATGTCAAATTAATACTTTTACATATATATATATATACACACACATACACAATAACCAATCCTTCCCAAGTGTAAAATGTAAATAAGCCAGTAGAATAAAATGAATGAATGGAACAGAGAGGTGACAGCATGATTACCATAGTCTACTGTACCAGTTATAATTCAAGCACGTGGTAAATGTCATTATTACCTTGTTTTCACTGGATGAATCTTCTTGAACCTTAATACGTCGCCTTTTCTTTTTCTGTTTATAGCTCCGCTGATTTTCTTCCAACTCTGCTTTCTTTGCAGACCTGAAGAAAATTTAAAACACAAAATAAACTATTTCATTATTAACTTCCATCAATAAGTTATGTACTATTTTAAAACTGTTCTACCTCTATATGCATTCCTAAAAACAAACAGGAAAAAAAAATCAGTAGGTTAAAAATGGATATTCCAGCAGAAGCATAACCCTTCATTTTAATCCAGTGATCAACAATTTACAGTATCCTGAGGGGAGGTTTGTTATATGAGTAAGAAGATGCATTAAAGGACATTAAGACTATTCTTCTAGTATAAAATACAAACAGCCAATAGACATACTAAAAAACATTCATCATCACTAAAAAAAGCAGATTACAAATTTGAACACTGTTTTCTTCATAACAGGCCACAGAGATTTAAAAACACAGTAACAACTTTTGGTGAGAAAAATATTTCTGGGTTTAGAAATTTGTACACAAAGCTACATTAATCCAGACAAAATAACTACTGTCAGTAAGGATGTGGAGAAAGTGAAACCCTGTTCACTATTAATGGAAATGTAAAATGGTGTAGCTGCTATTATGGCAGTTCGTCAAAAAAATTAAAAATAGAATTACCATGCAATTCCTTTTCTGGGTATATACCCAAAAGAAATGAAAGCAGGAACTTGAAGAGATATTTCCACACCCATGTTCAAAGCAGCATTATTCATGACAGCCAAAAGGTTACAAATCAAATGTCCATCAACAAATAAATTGACAAACAAAATGTGGTATACAATGGAACATTAAGCTTTTAAAAGGAAGAAAATTCTGAAACATGACTCAATATACATGAACTTGGAACACATGATGCTAAGTGAAATAAGCCAGTCAAAAAAAGACAAATACTGTATGATTCCACTTATATGAGGTTCCTAGAGTAGTGAAATTCATAGAGACAGAAAATAGAATGGTGGTTGCCAGGGGCTTCAGGGAAGAGGAAAAAGAAAGTGGTTTAATGAATAACATTTCAATTTTGCAAGGGGAAAAGGTTTTGGAGACTGGTTCAAAAAAAGTAAATGTACTTAACACTACTAAGCCATACACTTAAAAACGGTTAAGAGGAAAATAAAAATCCCCAGTAATACCATGAAAGAAAAAAAATGGTTAAGATGGTAAATGTTATGTGCATTTTACCACCATTAAAAATAATCATTAAGGAAAGAATGAAGTACTGATACAGGCTACAACATGGATGAACCTTGAAAACATTACACTAAGTGAAAAAAAAATCCATGAAAGGATATATATTATATGAATCTACTCATGCAAAATGTCCAGAACAGGCATATCCATAGAAAGTAGATTTTAGTGTTTATTAGAGTACGAGGGCATGGGGAATGGAAAATGACTGCTAATAAGTACAGGATTTTTTTCTTGGGTGATGGAAACGTTCAGAAATTACAGAGTGGTGTTTTTTGCACAACTTTGCAAATACTCTGAAGACCACTGTATTCCACAGTATAACATGTTGAATTATATCTTGGTTTAAAAAAAAACTCTCAACGTATCTTATCATTTTCATTTTATATTGACTTAAAGTATAATATATTGCTATACTCTAAGCACAACCTGGTAAGTATTAACCTAAAAAAATCTCAAATGTTTTAAAACTTACAAATGCAGACAGACACCTTTGTAGACATATATACACAAACACACACAGATTGTTCATTTGATAAACTGTAGAAAGATTATGTTATTCTGGGGGAAATAAAGAAATTGTAGTAGTAGCATTATCTAACATACCATACTAAGAAGGAAGCCAAATTTTAAATTACAGGTAATCTAGATCAGTGACTGTTCATGTTACAAGACCAAGCATATCATTATTACTGTAGTACTCCTAAAACCGATAATTTATATATCGAGCACTTACTATTTGCCAGGTAGGTACTGTTATAAACCTTGTACATGTATTGTCTCATTTAATGCTCACAATAGTCAGTCAAGTATATTGTAATCCCCCACTTTACAGATGAGGAAACTGAAGCATAGAGTATTTATACAAATAGAAAGTAGAAAAGCCCAGAGTTAGACTGAGGCAGTTTTTCTATAAAGCCTCTTCACTATTACCCTACAATTTCCCCCATAACAATAAAAAACTGCAGCCACGAGTAGTTTTGCAGACTGAAAATCTACCCAGGTTAGAATACACAATTCAACTACACATAAAATATGCTTAGATTCTTTTTAAACTATTAAGTATAACAATTAGTTTCAAACCAAAATATTATATATTGCACTAACTTAACTTTATTGGTAACAGTAACCATACAAATCATTTGAAGGCATGGTCATTCAGATTAACTCCTAAAATTTTTAAAATATCAATTATAATACCTTGTTCTGGGCCGCTGTTCATCTTCAGATTCACTGACTTCTTCACTAACTCCTGATTCCTGAAAATCAGAATCTTCTGAATCTTCACTGCTCACTTGAATTTTAAAAAAATACATAAAATTATTAATTATTTTTTCAATAGAAACCCAATTCACTTAATTTACCAATGACTTGACATTAAAACAGAGCATTATAAGAACGTCAGAGGTATATATGTGAATGGATAATACATAATATAGAATATATCAGTTAATGCTTTACATGATATATATAAATAAAATTCAAACGTATTTCAAATGTAATTATAAAACTGTGGTTGTACATTAAAATATAAGTATCAATTGTATATGAATTGACAAAATAAGAATAAATTACCTGTCAATAAAATATATGTAATTACCAAAGGTAAATTAATGAAAAAGAAGTTTGGCTATTCAAAACAAGCAAGGTAGGCTGGCCAAGATGGAATAAGATTACAGATTCTCTCCTCCAATGATGACACAACCGAAGAACTCGAAAAGGGAAATAATAATAGGCAGATTGGAGACTGAAATCAAAACTTGAATAATGACCCCTCTACAATTGGTGGAGGGGAGACAGCTGTGAGTGCATATGATTATTTTCTTTCTTTGTTTCCTGGTTTTGACCAGAAGGCAGGCTAAATTCCAAAGGTATGCAGAGGGTACTGACAACAAGACTGTGAAGAAAATCCCTATTTCTAGCCACAACACCAGGAAATCAGGTTCTACATGTGGAATCCTCAATTTTTTTTTCTCACAATTAATGCAGTAATGGAAGCATATAAAACTCCAGGAGAAAACCTCTTTTTGGCCAGAGGAAGCAGGGCAGAAAAAATACAAGATAAGCTTAGAACATCTTATAGTGCCAGAAAATAAAGCAGTGTTCAAACATGGACAGGCACATGTTGAAAGGACACAAGATTCAACTTGAAGGAGCTCCCAACAACCAAAGCTAGAACAATTTGAGTAATAAAATAAATGGTACTATTGGATAATAACTGGTAAAATAAAAATCTATAAGTCATATTGATATAAATAATGCAATAAATAAATAGGGGAAAACAACTCTTCCTTACAATTACTAAATGTGGAAGTAATGAAATAAACAGAAAATTACAACTAGGCAAATACCACAGTACTAACGGCTTCACCCAAGATGAATACTAAAATTAGTGGGCTTAAGTATGATAAGAAACAGAATATATGCATGGTCACAAAGTATCTCCCGATAAAATACTAAATATACACAGAAAAATAATGTCTTCTTCTTTACAGTGGAAAAATACTAGCAGACACCAACTTAAGCAAGTAACAAAAGTTAATCGTGAGAGTAATAAGACATATTGATGGCTGGGCATGGTGGCTCACCCCTGTAATCCCAGCACTTTGGGAGGCCAAGTTGAGAGGATCACTTGAGCCCAGGAATTTGAGACCAGCCTGGGCAACATAGGGAAATTCTATCTCTACAAAAAAAATTAAAAATTAGCCAGGCATGATGGTACACACCTGTAGTCCCAGCTTCTTGGGAGGCTGAAACGAGAGGATCACTTGAGCCCAGGAGGTTGAGGCTGCAGTGAGCCATGATCGCACCACTGTACTCCAGCCTGGGCAACAGAGTGAGGTCTTCTCTCAAAAAAAAAGACATACTGACATCATCTATTCTTGGTGTCATGCACTGAAGACACAACATCACTTCTGTGGTATTCTGTCAAAATGCATAATAACCTCAATTCAATCATGAGAAAACATTAGACAAATACATATCAAGGAACAGTTGAGAAAATAAGGAATCAACACTCCACAAGTGTCAAGGTCATCAAAGGAAAGACTGAGGAATTGTCACAGACTGCAGTAGATTAAGGAGACATTATAATTCAATGCAATGTGAGATCCTAGATTGAATCCTAAAGCAGAAAGAAAACATTAGTGGGAAAACTAATCTCTGAATAAGATCTATATTTACTTCAGAGGTCATAAAATGGTTTATGTAAAAAGCTTGATAGTAAATATTTTTGACTTGTGGACAATATGGTCTCTGTTGCAACTACTCATCACTATTCTGCCATTGTACATATGTGAAAACAGTAAATTAATGAATATGGCTGTGTTTCAATAAAAAGCTTATTTATAAAAACAGGCAGAGGATCAGATGTGGCCCACAGGTGCAGTTTGTAAACCCCTGGCTTAGTTGATAGTATCGTACCAATGTTAATTTCCCGGTTTTGATCATTGTACTATGATAAGGTATTAAATCAGAGAAGCTAGGTGAAAGATACACAGACCTCTGCACTATATGTGTAACATTTCTGTAAATATAGAATTGTTTCAAAATAATTTTTAAAAAATCTATCATAACCTGAGATCAGAATCAAAGTTCTATTCCAGTGAAAAAATGGGAGAACATAAATGCTAACAGAAATGCTATAAATGGGAGAACATAAATGCTATATAGAATATGTGGGGGGAGAAGGGAACAAAGAGTTATTGTTTAATGGTTAAAGAGATTCCATTTGGAATGATGACACGTTTTGGGGACAGATAGAAGCGATGGTTGCATAAAAATGTGAATGTACTTAATGTTACTGAATTGTACACTTAAAAATGGGTAAAACGGTAAATTTTATGTTATGTATATTTTACCACAATAAAAAAAACGAATAGTTAAGCAACTGGAAAGCTGGGAGAATATCAAAAACACACATATATCCCTGCATTCACACACAAAAAAATCCTGTAATTAAGTATAATTTTAAGCCTAGTATTAATTTTTCACCCAACATTTAAAAATTTTTGAAATCTACCAAAAATTTGAAAGAATTATTGAATGAACACTTGTATGCCTTATCCTAAATTCACTTATTATTAGCAGTTTACCACATTTGCTTTTTTCTCTCTCTCTACACACACACATACACACACACACACACACGCACACACCTTTTCTTACACTGAACCATGTGATATTAAATGCGGATGACACTTTACCCCTACGCATAAGGATACTACCCTACATAACTAAATACCATGATCACATCTGAAAAAAAATTACTATCATCTAATAAAAAGGCAATATTTACAGTTTCAAATTGTCACTAAAATAATTTTGTAACATTTTTCTAATTTAGGAGAAAATTAGAGTTCATATGCTGCACTTTGTTCTTATGCCTCTTCAATGCATTTCAATTTAATTCAACTACATTTAATAAGTAGACTATTCACTATTGATTTTTCCCATCTCTCAATTCAAATTTCCAAATAATATAGGAACACCAGAATTTACAAAACTCAGAAAATCATGCAACTTCAACTATATATCAACCACTATGATCATAATCCATATTAGAAACACAAATATGATGGGATTTTAGAAGTTTACTCTCTCCTACACAAACAAAAAACAACAACAACAAAATCACCTGGGTAATAAATTACCCACAGAATCAGGCAGTAGAAACACAGATCATAGAAAATTCAGGTTTTAATAAAGCAAATCTCAAATGTAATCATATATAATAAAAGCGTCTATATATTGAACTAAGCCTCAGAAGCAAAATCAATATTGCCCCTTTTGTTGAAGAGGCACAGGAATCCATGTTGTGATATATATAACATGTTAAATCACACAGTTCCTTTATAGAATCTGTAAGAGCTTGCAGCCATATTGCAAAGAACTTTATAAGACAGGCCGGGCGCAGTGGTTCATGTCTGTAATCTCAGCACTTTCGGAGGCCGATGCAGATGAATCACGAGGTCAGAAGATCGAGAACATCCTGGCTAACATGGTGAAACCCCGTTTCTACTAAAAATATAAAAAATTAGCCGGGTGTGATGGCGGGCGCCTGTAGTCCCAGCTACTCAAGAAGCTGAGGCAGGAGAATAGCGTGAACCCGGGAGGCGGAGCTTGCAGTGAGCTGAGATTGCGCCACTGCACTCCAGCCTGGGCGACAGAGCGAGACTCCATCTCAAAAAAAATAAATACATAAAAAATAAAAATAAATAAATAATTTTTAAAAATGTATAAGACAAGTAGTCACAAAATGATGCACTATTATTTATTAACATGAAAATGTCCATAACATATATTAATTGTATATGCGTGTGGCAAGAACTCCTTCCTCCTCATCTTTAGTGAATAACTCTTGCCCAAAAGCCCTATAAATGTTTAGGATTCCAAGACTATGTCCTTAGCTTTCCATTTGTAAAACATTACAACTCCACTGAATAACCTCAACTATTTTTGTGATATTGTACATATACCATGAAAACTCTAAAAACCTGACACTCATTGTAGACTTTTCCCTTTCATATCAATTAAGAAGACCTAACAATTCAACCTCCTATAAGACTTAAGTCAATCTTCCTCTTCTCCAACAACCCCATTTGTTGTTATGTATATTTTACCACATCAACTACAACAATACCTTCCAAACATTCAGTGCCTTCATTCTCACTGAATAATAAAGAACTAATCTAATCATATGATATCTTTGATTAAAATCTTTCAATAGGAAAAAAAGTGGTCATGCTGAGGTTGTGATTCTTGGGTGTTAGTAATCAACACCTTGTTCCTTGATCTGGGTGCCCTACGTTTTCATCAAGATGTCTACCTATTGATAACGTGCACTTCTTTGTACATATATTTCAAATAAAACATTTTTTAAAGTGGTGGTAATCCTCTATGATTATACTAAAAACTGCTAAATTGTATACTGTAAATGGGTGAACTGTGTGGTCTGTGAGTTATATCTCAATATAGCTGTTATACAAAAAGTTTAAAAATAAGGCCAGTACAGTGGCCCACGCCTATAATCCCAGCACTTTGGGAGGCCAAGGTAGGTAGATCACCAGAGGTCCAGAGTTCAAAAATAAATACAGTAATTAAAAAAAATACATTTTCAATGGCTCTGCATCCTTTAGAGCCTATTATATATCCCAAACACTTGCAAAAATGCGTTCCTATTCCTAGGTGGCAAAAAAGAGTTCATCTGCCATCCATGGGTTGGGTACTAACAATAGTCTTCAAAATTTACCCCTAGTCATCAAAAAGCCAAACAACAACAACAACAAAATTCTTTGTACTTTTTGTTACCCAAAATTCACAGGCAAAATTTACCCAAATTAATTGCAACTTCTACCCTTCTACAGGAAAGCACTGTTTTTGCAGTTTTATATGCAATCTTATACTTTCTACATAATGTTTATTTTATTAAATCATATTTATTTCTCTTTATAATCTAAAGGTTAAAAATATTCTTTGTGTCATCTAAAGTTTCTGGTTTATCTTCCCACTCTAAATTATTACTTTTAATCTCATGTGATAGTATACCTGTTGCCAGTGTACTGACATTTGCTTAATATAGTTGGTCAATTGTTTGAGTAGATATGCTTAAATTTCTTTCTTTTTTTTTTTTTTTCTTGGAGACAGAGTCTCGCTCTGGGGCCCAAGCTGGAGTGCAGTGGTGCTATTTCAGCTCACTGCAACCTCCGCCTCCCGGGTTCAAGTGATTCTCCTGCCTCAGCCTCTCGAGTAGCTAGAACTACAGGCGTGTGCCACCACACCCAGCTAATTTCTTGCATTTTTAGTAGAGACAGGGTTTCACCATGTTATCCAGGATGGTCTCAATCTCCTGACCTTGTGATCCACCCGACTCAGCCCCCCAAAGTGCTGGGATTACAGGTATGAGCCACCGTGCCTGGCCATATACTTAAATTTCATTACTATAATTAGTTTACAAAACCAGCATGGTTTTTTTTTGTTTTTATTTTTGAGACAGGGTCTCATTCTGTCACCCAGGCTGCAATGCAGTGGTGCAATCACTGCTCACTACAGCCTTGACCTTTGGGGTTCAGGTGATCCTCCCACCTCAGCCTCCCAAGTAGCTGGGACTACAGGTGCACACCACCACGTCCAGCTATTTCTTCTATTTTTTGCAAAGATGGGGTTTCCCTATGTTGCCCAGGCTGGTCTTAAACTCCTGGGCTCAAGCAATCTGCCCACCTCAGCCTCCCAAAGTGCTAGGATTACAGGCATAAGCCACTGTGCCTGGTCCAATATGTTCTTTACATTCAGCATTAAAATGTCTTACCCTTTCTTCTGTTTCTGCCTTTGACTTCTTTATGCTCTTTAGGCTTTGTCTTTTTTTCTTCTCCAGATTCTCCATCACTCACAGTCAGTTTGTGCCTCAAAAGCCTATGTCTGTATCTTGGCTTCTTAGATTCTTCAGAATCTGAATCTGACTCAGAATTGATTTGATTTTTTGCTTCTAAATGAAGAAAATAAATCAATAAAACCTTCTTCAGTCTTTAAAATGTCTTGTAAATCTATCTGACTCAGAATTGATTTGATTTTTTGCTTCTAAATGAAGAAAATAAATCAATAAAACCTTCTTCAGTCTTTAAAATGTCTTGTAAATCTATTTTGCCTGTTGACAACTACTGCAACTTACGAAAAAAATCAGAGTTATACACATACTTTGGTATCATTGGTGTTATCAGGTAATCTCACACATCAGACTTGACATATTACTATTATTAAATATTGACTAAATATCACCTATATATTTATAGAACCTTTTATAAGGTATAAAATATTTTGCTTTGAAAATCATCTGTTTAGGGCCAGGCGCGGTGGATCACGCCTGTAATCCCACCACTTTGGGAGGCCGAGGCGGGCAGATCACTTGAGTTCGGGAGATCAAGACCAGCCTGATCAACATGGAGAAACTCCGTCTCTACTAAAAATACAAAATTAGTAGGGTGTGGTGGCACAGGCCTGTAATTCCAGCTACTCGGGAGGCTGAGGCAGGAGAATCACTTGAACCTGGGAGGCAGAGGTTGCAGTGAGCCAAAATTGCGCTATTGCACCCCTGCCTGGGCAACAAGAGCAAAACTCTGTCTCAAAAAAAAAAAAACAAAAACAAAAAACAAAAAATATCTGTTTATTGGCAGTAACTGATAAAATTAGAGTAACTTCCATAATTATTACAAGATATTCAAAAGAAGTCGTGGTAACAAAGTTTTAAACATTTTCATGAACTCTAAATGCCTGTATTAAGAGATTTCTTTTTTTTCTTCTTCTTCTTCTTTTTGAGATGGAGTCTCGCTTTGTCACCCAGGCTGGAGTGCAGCAGCACAATCTCGGCTCACTGCAACCTCTGCCTCCCAGGTTCAAGCGATTCTCCTGCCTCAGCCTCCTGAGTCGCTGGGACTACAGGCACGCGCTACCACACCCAGCTATTTTTAGTAGAGACAGGGTTTCACCATGTTGGTCAGGCTGGTCTCAAACTCCTGACCTCAACTGATCCACCCGTTTTGGCCTCCCAAAGTCCTGAGATTACAGGCGTGAGCCACCACACTCAGCCATAGTAAGATATTTCTTGGTCAGATATTCTTCAAAGACTGAATTAGTCAAGGAATCAAACTATGACATTATAAACTTCTCTTTGGGGAGCTCACCCTCATCTCCTGGGTTTTCTTCATTTTGTTTTCCAGTTCTTTTTTTCCCTTCTTCTGGCTCATCATCTGAAGATCCATCCTCATCAGAGGAAAGATTGGCTTTAATTTCTTCTAAAAGCATCTTCTTGGCAATTCTTGAGAGTAAAAAAACAATAAAAAAAGAACTATATATCTGGGGGTGAAATATATCAAATTAAAAACAAAAGCAGACTTCTTGGCATCAAAATAGAAATAAATGTGCCAATAGATTCTATATTGTAAATAAACAATTAGCAAAACCATGTTTTAACCTAAGCTATAAAAAAAAAACTTTTGAAAATGTTCTTTACACTTATTATTTCTCAATTTTATACAATTCTGCAATATACTGAAAACTCTGAAGGACATATTCTATTGACTATTTTTACTAATTGCAATTCGATGCTGGATAACCTTCCAATCCTCTATTTGCTTTGCTGACATCATCCTACAACTACAATGTCAGACAGGTCAACAATAGTAAATGAACTTGTTCAGACACATGGCATTCCAAGATAAAACTCCACAAGAGGTTTAATTCAACAGCAAAATATATTCTTGGAAAACCAATGTGTAATAAACCACTATATAATAACACCTTGCCTCAAACTAGAGGATGATAGTTTTGGACCTTAATTTCAATGTACTACATAAATTCTGTTAACCAGATGAAAGTATACACAAATGTTAAGTATTGCAGCAATAAATAATCTCTAATAATATTCAAGACAGGGGAAAGAAGGGACATGATTGCTATTAATTACATACATGGTAAAAAGAACACGAATTACCATAAATGGGTTACTTTAAAAAAAATAGTGCAGTTGTTTCACTCACAACAAAATTTCTCAAGATGCTCCTCAAAGACCAATTTGCTAATGGAAAAATCAATTACTAAAAGCATAAGAAAACACTACTTTTACTCCTACCATCATATGTTAAAATAAAATATATTCCTAGGAAATCTCCATGTTTGTACTCAAGAAAAATAACTGAAAAAGTAAGATAAAAGCAATCATACAGCTTTTGTGCAAGACAAGATGTTTTGATAAGTCTGGGTATCCTTTCAATACAAATTCACAAATCACAGTAACAAGAAAATAGTTTATAGGAAAGTTCAAAAAGAAGATGGCATGATCCTGACAGTCTGCCATGAGCTAATCTGTATGGGATAAACATGTTCTCTGCAATCAGGACTGACTCTCTAGCTAAGTCAAAAACTTGTAGCTGGGATGATGGAACATTTGTTATTTCTGGATCTGAAACCCCTCTTTACACTTCTTAGCACACACCCACATTTCAATGAAGAATTCATTCAATGGCAGGAGATATTAATGCATGTTAGCTGCCTCCTAAATTTTATTTGACAGACAGATTGCTCATTACTATTCTTATTCAAAGATGCATAGCAAAGGCATCTAAATAGACTGAAGCAAAATAGCAATCACTTCCATAAATGTTTATTATATGCCTTTTGGTGCTTTCTCCCTCAAACAGATGGATCAGAAATATTTAGACAACACAGAGAATCATCAATTGCTAAAGGAAGCCACAGATGCGTTTGTTTTTCTGAGGATTTCTGCCCTGATTTGTATTTCAATAAAGTGAAGATTAGACCACACCAATTTAAATCTTACTAAAGTTGAGCTATAAAGTTTTGCTCTTACATTTCTAGATCAATGGTTTGCACACTGTAAGCTTTTCTAAAATGGGACAAATACAGGGTTGCCAACTTTTCATTTTGCCAAAAAAAGAAGTTTAAACCCAAATTCCATTTACTTTCATCATTTTATAAAATAAAGACTATTTACAACATACCCTCCCCAAATTAGGAAACAGTTTCAGAATAAAGGGAAACCCTTTAAATTGAAGAAATATATCTTTCTGGAAAAATTCTCTAAAATCATCTTTTTTTAAAAAAATTTCAGCCAGGCGTAGTGGCTCACGCCTGTAATCCCTGCACCTTGGGAAGCAGAAGCGGGCAGATCACCTGAGGTCAGGGGTACGAGACTAGCCTGGCCAACATGGTGAAACCCTGTCTCTACTAAAAATACGAAAATTAGCTGGGTGTGGTGGCGCGCACCTGTAATCCCAGCTACTCAGGAGGCTCAGGCAGGAAAACTGCTTGAACCTGGGAGGCGGAGGTTGCAGTAAGCTGAGATCATTGCACTCCAACCTGGGCAACAAAACTCCGTCTCAAAAGAAAAAAAAATTTTCATGGATGTTTATTACAATGTTGTCTGCAATAGCAAAGGGTGAGAAAACGTTTAAACATTCAATATCAGAAACTGATTAAATAGTATTATCACATGATTATCCATAAGAGATAGAAATTAAAATGATACTCTAAATAAGATTAATATAGAAAATATTTATTAATATTAAGTGAAAAAGTAATTTATAAACCACAATATAGTTCTATTTTATATATAAAAAAAAAACTTCTAAAATTTGTATGTCCCTAAAAAAGACCAGAAGACTCTAAAATAAAATGTTAGCAGTAAATTTCTACGTCTGGCATAGCACTTTTTTTTTTCTGTTGGTATATATTAAAACCATCTTTAGTAATACTACACTGTCATTTCTCATGAACCAGAAGAAACTTCCTCAAACTAATATGAATAATGAATTTTGGGACGAATAAATATGTGTGTGTGTGTGTAAAATATATCAAGCATTGAACACTAGATTAGAAATGGAAAAACATAGGTTACTTGTAAGTACAAGGAGATCTCATACCACTATTTGGGTTGAACACTAAACAGCCAACAAAAATACAATTCCTAATCTAGTTACTTGAAAGGCTAGTTCAACAACATGATTTCAGTTTGTGTTTACAAGTTCGAAAAAAGTCTTTAAAAAATTCTTATTAACTATAAAGATTTGGTTGTTAATTGTAGGAAATCACGTAATTTTTCTTCTTTCAAATCCTAGTCTCCAAAGAATATGTCTACTAAAAAATGGAAGGTCACAATATGTAAACCTACTTAATGCATTCTCAAGTTCTGGATTGTCATTAGACTAAGAAATGTGATGTACATGAGATAAGATACAATTGCATACCTATTAATAAATCATATAAAGTGAAATCAGATCCACATACTGTAGAATTACAACTTAGCGGCAACTTTCAATAAGATCATAACATATAGAACAATCATAGTACATTCAGAAGCTGAAAAATTACAAACTTCAGGTCATTTTTCTCCAAATCACAAATTATATACAGAGTGATGGAGACTACCTGGCTAAAGGTTTTATTTTTGCTCTTTTAACACCTTCTGTCCAAAGGAAAACTTAATTTATAGCTATGTAAATTAAGCCCTAAAAAGAATAAATTGAATCATTTTGCATAAGTTATTACTGAAGTCCAATATGTCAAAGACCCAGTCTACCATAAACCTAGCCTATAACATAATAACCTACATTTCAAAATTAGAACTTAATTTAATGGACCTAAGGGCTGAGGCTGACCTTCAACCTGAGTAGTCAGCAAGCATGTTGAAGTGAGATGTGTCCCATCTACAAAGCCTGCTGTGAGATGCTTTAAAGGGAAACTCCACTACCTTAACTCTGGAGTCACGGGCCACAGAGACTTCAAGGATATCATCACTTGAGAACCAGCTGAGGCTGGCAAAGCATCATTTTGGAGGCCTCGGCTGGACCCATGCTGGTATGCATGTGATGGATGTATAGTCATGATCCCTAGTTGATTCTGTTTGCTCTGAAGTTTCCTTTCTTGAGGCTTTCCAGGACGATGTACTGCCCCTGGAATCTCAATGCTCAATATTACATCTTGGGGCAGGTGTAGCATCCAAAGCAGTCACGACTCTATCAGAAGCATTAGAGGCACAGGCCGTGCCACTCTTGTGGCAGAAAACCTGGGCAGAGCCAGAAGTAATGGAGCCACTCCTCCATTTTCCTGAAAGGGAGGGAAGGGAGAGGGGGAGAAAGCAAAACAATATGGGAGGAAGGGTAAAAAACCCACAAACAAACAATGATCGGAACTGGTGCATGAGAAAATAAATAGGACCCCAAAACCCACATATACTAAGTCTTCCAAAGTACATAATGAACACCAAGATAACACCATTACTAAAAGAAAGCACAAATAAAATAATAAGAAGTGAGCCCAACAACACAATGACAAACAAGCAATCGGGAAAAAAAAAAATAGGAGAAAGCCAAGAAAGCCTTTATTAACTCCAATCCTATCTAGAAAGGAAAAGAGTAATGTCTCTTGTTTAAGCACTCAAACAGGAAAGGAAAGTAAACCACCTCTTGCTGAGAGGTAAATCAATAATTCAAAATATTGAGTTACTTAAAATGCAATCAAGAGAAGGACCTCTTGCACCAGGGAGCTTTTGAGCCATAATAAAAGCAATACAAAATATTAGAGCTAAAACGATGAACCTTAGAGTACAGCTTTGTCATTTTACAGACGATGAAACAGGCTTAGATATAGGAAATGACTCAGTCAAAGAAACAAAGCTAACTAGTGGCAAAGTCAGGAGTAGAACCTAAGATCCTAAATCCCAATCTGCTATTAATTTTACTGTGCCAGCACTATATCCTCTACTTGTTAACACTTGTACGCTAATGAGTGCCTGGGCAAATACAGATGATCCCTTTTTTTTAGACAGAGTCTTGTTCTGTCACCCAGGCTGGAGTGCAGTAGCGCGATCTCAACCTGGAGTGTGAGAGGTTCACTGCAACCTCCGTCTCACAGGTTCAAGCAATTCTCCTGCCTCAGCCTCCTGAGTACGTAGGACTATAGGTGCATGCCACCACACCCAGCTAATTTTTGTAGTTTTAGTAGAAACAGGCTTTCACCATGTTGACCAGGATGGTCTCAAACTCCTGACCTCAGGTGATCCACCCACCTCAGCCTCCCAAAGCGCTGGGATTATAGGCGTAAGCCACCGCACGGGCACCCATTTTAAAAAATATGTGTATTTTGCACATTTCAAATTTGTGTATTCAGAAATGCAAGAATTCAAGCTTTAATTTTTATTTTATTTTAGAGACAGTCTTGCTCTGTTGCCCAGGCTAGAATGAAGTGGCACAAACACAGATCCTTGTAACCTTGAACTCCTGGGCTAAAGCAATCATTCTG